GGTTCTGAATGGCAACATCACTAAGTATACAGGCCTGCCTCTCACATAAACCAATGGGGATAGATAGAAAAGCTGGAGAAATAATCACATTTTTTGACCTGTTGAAGCAGAATTATGTCAGCTACCTTGAAATGCACTTTTCAGTACAAAAGTAACTGAACCTTTTTCATCAACTTTGGTAGTGAAAACAATATGATTTGGGGAATGTAGCAGAAGGTAGATGAGAGGACCATCTCAGAACTGAGATGTCTCAAACATGAGGGCAGAAGCATAACTTTGAAACCTCAGACTATAGGAAGTTTCTGAAATAACACTCTCCGACAGGAATGGCGTAGGGAAACGATTCAGGCATCAGCAAGCGGGCGAAGTGATATCAACAAGAGGAGCAGCAGCCAGCTGTCATGATACAAGATGAGTAGGGTGTAGGCAGATAAACTGGCAAGCAGAACAGAAAGGAACGTTTGGCCTGGATGAAGCATTACTAGCTCAGCGTTAGCTGCGCAGCACATAGTATGACATGTAGTCAGAGTCTCAGCATTACATATGTGAGACAGACACACAACAGGAAAGCCCAGAGTACTGCAATCTTCAGCTGCTGATACATTTAGATACATAAGCTCTTTAGCGCATGCCCCTCTCCCCCTACCATGTGTTTGTTTAGGAATTAACACACTGCTTTTCTTCCAAAGGGGTCTGAGAGCCTATCACAAGATCCAATTATATAACACAGCTGTAGATGACCCTGGTTAAAACAAACAAAAAACACCAACAACCCATCCAGGTAGCGTGCACAGGCACTGCATCCTCAGACAGATCAGGACATTCTGAGAGGCTGCATCTTATTCTCTAGAGTACATCTTTCTGCTTGGACAACGTGTGAAAGAAGAGGTTAAGACCCCCTCATTAAATCATTATTTGTTCTCAAGATTATTTGAGACTGTGATGACTTATCTGCACCTTCACCATCTTCAGAGGTTCCTCCTTCCAGATTTACACAGATACTGTCTATTCTTGGTGGGGAGGGAGGGGGGAGAGCAATAAAACCTCACCACCACTTTTACAAAGTTGTCTTCTATGTCCAAGTCCATAAATAACAATAAGGTGTCCTATACTGTAAAAGAATGCTGCATCTTTCAGCACCAGGACCCCAGACCTGTGCCTTTTGACACTTCACTGAGAGATCAGGTTAATAATTGGGAGGTGACAGCATCAGTGTTTCCTGCAGACCTTACCTTTACTTTGTTTGTCATGTGACTCTGTGAGGAACTGAGTGATGCGGTCTGAAGGAATAGCAAAGGAAATTCCAGCTGTAACCTTCAAGGTGTTAATTCCAATCACTTCACCATCCTGTGAAGAGACAGCAATCAGTTAATTTGCTCCTAACGCACAGACTTCAACTCACTACCTAGCATTTTAAAATTACCTACACCAGCTTTTAAAATAAAAGAGTTTTATAATCATTCAAGAAATAAATATTATTTCTAGGACAGGATCTGGGCTACGAGTTACATAGCCTCTCAAATTTAACTGTGATGGCCAAAGAGATTAACAGTACAGCTTGTTTATCCAAGGTTCATCCAGCCAAGCAGCAAGTGGCTCCCTCCACTGAGCAGGTGATCAGCTCCAGTACAGCCACCGTTCACTGAATTGTGAAATCAGAGCTGGTTTAAAGCGATCTATTTCGAAGTCTGTTGTGTGGATTAATGAGATCCCATCACCTTTGCCCTGCATCCCAGGTTTCAGAAACAACATAGCTACTCCCACTAGATCCCCTTCTCCTCCCTGCTGCGTAAAATTTCCTCTGCTCTCCACAGAAACGTTTTTCAAAAGGTGCGTGAACTGAAACCTAATTTACGTGATTTGTATTAGCGTCAGCGTATTTGCCCACCATTAGCCTGAATGGCTAGAAGCTGGTATAATAGATGAGCCTTTACAATTTAGCCATGAGAGCACTCCCTACTACCACTGTGCATCATCTGGGTAGTAATTTACACAGATTATTCTTCCATCTTCACAACAATCACAAGTATTCTCCCACTTACTTCAAACCAGATTTAAAAAATAAAAATAAAAAAACAAGCCACTTGGACTTACCAGATTAACTAGAGGTCCTCCAGAGTTACCATACTGTAAAAATGGCATAAGGAAACAATACATTAGTGCGCCATTGTAGGAACTAAAAATTGCATTTCAAGCAATATTTTGTTTGTTAGCAAATGAAAGAGAGATAAAGCATTTCTTAGGCCTGTTCCACCTGTTCACACCTCCTACGATTAGATTTTTTTCTTCTTAGAAACAGGTCTTAAGTTAGGGACAGTAACTTACCAGCCAAAATAATTAGGCTGTAATTTAGAGAAGAATCACCAAGAAGTTAAAACAGGTATTTTGAGTCGCCTGAATACCAATAGAAAAAAATTTTGAAATAATTAATTGCAGTTTAAAATGATATTCCAGTGAAGTGCTCTCAGTGTGTTATGATTTTTAAGAGGTGTTATTCATCATTTTGGTCTGCAATACTGTCAGTCTCTCTTACTCTCTACTAGAGGAGAGCAAAACACTTTGCAAGTTTAATCATGGCATGCTGCTGTGAGGTAGGTGCCATGCAAGGACTGCTTTGGTAACCCCAGAGATGTAACCACCTCTGGGGAGAGCATATAACAGCTCTGAGCAGTTGAAAACTACCTAATACCTGATGGCCTTCAAAGAAGAAATCTAAACAGGACTACAGGAAGTGGGAGTTGGAGAAATCTCTTGTTCATCTTCATGTTGGCTCACCAAGTTTGTTTTCAAGTGAGGCCAGTGTTTTTAAGTAGGTCTATCAAACAGCCAAGTGCAGCAACTTACCACTTAAAATAAACAAAAGCCAAGTGATGCACGACAGCAACATAAACCTTCTAAACCGTTTACACTTAGATAGCGCTGGGCAAATCTTATTTATTCTCAGAAGAATAAAACAGACATTTAAAATTTTTAAAACAGCTTCAAAGTTCACGTTTAAGAAGAGATCAGTTTCTTATGTTGTCTCTTTTCAGCAACCAGGGGCTACACATTTCATTTTTACATCTGACACAAAGGAACTGAGATAGCGTTTTTTTCAGCTTTCAAATACTCTTATAGGGATGATTTTCAGCATATCATCTTTCACTCACTTGTCCTCTGCTTGAAGGATTTGATAACGGAAGAACTTTGGCACATGTAGTATAGCTCCATTTAGGAACGTATGGCCCTGTTCTTTCCTGCCCCATGTTCCTGCTGTCCTAGCGTTTCTCAGAAGGCAGCTGCATGCACATTCCTGTAGGAAAGTCTTGGCCGAGCCACAGGAATGCTCTGAATAGAGCAGCTCTGAAACTCCTCCCATTCTCAGGAGAAAACCAGTGCATTAGCTAAGCACACAGCATCCCTATGCCAGGGACTGTCTTTATATTCTGTAGTCTCGTTTGACAAAGCAGCTCAAATATATTGGCATTTTCCTCACCTCAGTACTACCACTATTCCGTTTAATCTAGTATTACCTGATGCACTCTGCTATCGTTGTCTGAATTGGTTCATTAGCTTTTGAGGGCAGTGAATGCTTAAGCACATACGAGGAAGCAGTTTGATCCAGAGGAATGTGCACAAGGCGTGAAGTCAAGAATCCCATGTTCTAATTCTGGCTCTGCCACCAATTCAGTTTGTGCTCCCAAGTAACCCGTTCTGCCTAAGTTTTTCTATTTGCCTGTACAACTGAAGAACTAATAGCAATTGCCTTTTTCATATAATTTCTCGCAAAAACTCTGTGAAAATAAACACTTGTGAAGTGCTTTGCATGTGTAAAATGCTAAGCATTATGATTTGTTGAGTTTGGTATTCAGAGCCATTAAATAAACGTTGGAAATGTTTTCCTTTTAACGTATAACAGATTTCAGGCTGTTTTCTACCTCAGATATGCATGCAGTGCTCTTTTTAGAATCACCGCAAGTTATATACACATCCGAGGACTTCCCTTTGAATCTCTTTGAAGCTCTTTGAATCCCTCCAGCTGCTCTGAAGGGATATTATTTTCACGTATTCATACGTTTCTATAAAACACGTAGTGCAATGGGGGCCTTAACTGAACTGAACAGTATCCCAAGCTTTAAGGCATTTTACATCTAGACTCTTATCTGGGGTATGTGACGTACATGGTTCGGGCAGAGGGAGGGGAAAGAACCCTTAAGTTCTTACCTGGGCTCCCTGACAATAAATCCAAGCAGACGCTATCAACTTCACAACTCCATCCAGCTCCAATGGATGGAGGTGCAAAACATTGGCTCTATTCTACAGCTTGCTGGGACAGACTAGCTGGACAAGCACAGAAAGAAACGTTGATTTACTGCTGTCTGTATAACCATATGTTACCGCACACAGAACGAGAGAGGTCTGTCATATGTGGCATCTTTGTAGACAACCTCAGAAAGGGCTATTTTATTTAACACCCCTTCAACAACACTGTTGTCCGAATGTAACTTATGACACTGTATAGTCTTCTACAAAAAGAAGGGGATGTCACTGATTTTTAACAAAGCCCCTTTCAGTCAGGGAATTCATTATTCAGAGC